AAGTTAAAATCAAAAGCAAATATGAGGTTGATGATTCGGTGCAATATTTCTGGAAGATGAAAATGAAAATAATAATAATAAGCAAATAATCCAAGAAGTTAGGCCATATATAAGCAAAGAAACTTCAAGAAGCCAATCGTACTCAAAATCAGCCCTCGAATTATAAATCAAAGAGTAAGGAAATAGAAAAAGATAACCCCGGGTTGGCGTAAAAGAAGAGAGAAAGATTCAAGTATGTACTTCTGCCAAGTATTACATTTCATACAGGTATTTCAAAGGGAAACTTTCATTTACTAAAAAGCATTTTCAAACAACTGAGAATAAAGGAAAATAATAAAACAATCAAAATTTCATCATTCTTATTATTATTTGCTCGGTTTCTTACAGTTCCTTCTTTTGTCTCTTATAATGAAGTCAGAATAAAATCCATCAATAGTTTGTTTCATGTTGTTGATTAATTTGATTTTGAATCTTTTTACCGTAACCTTACAAAACCAAGTAAATAAAAGAAATTACTACACCAGTGTGCAAACCTGAAGCAACTTTTCTGAATTTGACTGTAATTCCGTAAAAATTATATTTTACGAGTATTTTCAGCTATTGTTATAGTCATTTTTTTATCATGTGGAAGAAGAAGGATTAAATTCTATAGTTATTTTCCTATCATATAGGAGAATGATTAATTTAAAGGGTAAATTGATAAAAAATAAAGGAATGCATTTCAAATATGCGAGATAATCAATAAAGCCCAGCAGTATGAAAGGCCATATACAAAGTTTAAATTGCCGCTAATAATTTTGCACCTGATGGTTCTCCGACACTTCTCCCTAAGCAGCAGAGCAATCAATCCGAAAATAATAAAGCCAGCACACAGCGCTTTTCTTCAGTTTGGTGCACTATTTTTAATATTACTTCACGAACTATATTTCATATCAGGTACAATAAACAGTCTACTCACGACGGAATTTTATGGTGTGGAACGTGAAAAATCGAACTGACGAGCCAATACGTGATTCTCCTTGGGTGTACTACCTTGCCAAAAATCGATATTGCCTCGTACCTTTCAGTATTCTCACCCAAAAAAGTATCAGTCTGTAAAACAATTCTTAAATTATCATGAAGATTTTACAATGAATTTCATTTATGATAAATCCTTACTAAATTTTATATTTTTTAAACGTTTATTAAGGATAATAAATCAATATGGACTAATAATTAATTTTAAGCAATGAGTTCAATTCATAATTGAGGATTTTATAAATCTAGTTACTAGCGTTAATTCGGAATTTTAGGCAAAAATGCTTTATATTAGTTTTAAGATCATTTTTAGATCATTTATATCATTTTCAAAACTATTACTTCACATTTAAAAAACGCTAAAAATCACATTAGGATATTCGATTCAAACAGACTTTATTTTGAGATTGCAAAATAATAATTCAGAATTCATGATTAAAATATAGGCTTAAGCTACTAAATCGCCTAAAATAACCGCAAGAGACTGGCTGCACCTTTCGTCCCATCTGACCTTTTAGCTGGAATGCTACAACTAAGTTTAAATTCAAAATAAAACTTTTTAATTAACATATTAATTTCAAAGTTACAAAAATTAAACGTTTAACAGGAACGGAACCCCGTAACCTTGCAGTTAGCCAAACAATCGTTACAAAGTCAATCAAATGCAGAGTACAAAATTAACCAGCTTTGATTAAACCTGGGCTTTAATCTGAATAACAAGCGCCCGCGAAGAATTTGCAGCTAGTATAAACTTTAGCCAGCAAGAATAAACTGCAAAAACGAAAATCTACAGTAGGGTAACGGCTAATCTGATTTATTTATAGAGTAATTTGATTTAATTTCTAGTAGAACTCGGCGAAAAAAGAAGTTACAAACAAGCTAAAATAACAATAACCGGGTTAATTAAAATAAAAACCTTACAACCAATCAAATGTAGAAGAATTTAGAAACATATTTAAGTAAAATCTATATAACAAACTTTCTGGATTTTAAACTAATCGCAAATTGTTCTTGTACATCATAAATTATTATTACGTAAAAGAGCACGAATATTCTAGTAAAGAAAGGCTATGGGGCAGAATGTAATGTAAGGAACATGTTTTCAGCCGATTTATAAATATTTTTGTCAAAGGAAATATTTTTGTCGAATTATTTGGTTTATTATCAAATTTCGCTTATTATAAAATTCCAATGTTATTTAAGATTCTTAAGAATATAAAACTTAAAAAACACGCAAACATCGTTAACATTTGTTTTTAAGTTGTATATTATATAATTTAGACACCATTGATTTCAATCTAAATCCTAATGCTAAAAAAATCAGTTTCAGACGATATTCTTTATTTGTCAAGGCGAACAACATACACTAAAAAAACGCTCAATAGTCCATAAATTAAAAAATTAACCTAGAATCATCATAAATAATAATGCAGTTATTTTCAGTCACAGCTTGCGAGACTAATAAGACTATTATTGTAACACAAAAATATTTTCAACTAAACGATATTTATCGTTTAGTTTGAAACGATAACACTCTAACACTTAAATAAATACCTTTATTACAGCTACCTTTCAATACGTGGAAAGATCTCAAATGTCACCTCGCATGAATGATTTAGATGAAAATATTTATTTGATGTTTACGAAAACTTATTTTAAGTTTTCGAATACTAAGTAGCAATAAATAAAGTAAATAATTTATTTAATTAAAATAGAGAAAAATAATATCTTTTGCTGCAAAAATGTAAAAACTTTTAATCAAATAAAGAAACTTTAATATTCAAAATAAAAATCTTGCTAAGTATTTATACAATCAAAAGATTTTAAAACTTAATTTGTAATTCTTTCAATTTGCGTTAACAAGATCGGAGGCAAGTGTGTAACTGTTCCAAAGAATGAAAAAATTAGCATCCTATATATTTATTATACAATTTTAACTAAACCTCTGCATAATCTTGGAGAGAAAATACAGGTGCTTCAAACGTCATATGAGTTGTACTTTAATACATTATTTTAATGATAATTACGTATAAAGTTATATTATTTGCGTAACTTTCCTGCACAAAGAGCTGAAAGCTCATTTTTAAAAAATGATAATTCGGTCGGAAAAGGGTCTAATTTTCTGCATGCCAAATGAAAAGAAATCGAAATTTATAACTTTATTTTGAAACATTCATTGCAGTCACAGTATACTTTACATAAAAGAGCGGGTTTAATTCATTAAATATTACATTTAGTTAACTATAAAAACATTAAATTTGCATTTAGTTGGGACAGAAAACAAAATTAAGAAGTAACATGTAGTACATTACATCCTTAAACATTTTTTTAATAGTTTACTCTAAATTAGTTACACTTCGAAATTTAATAGCCGTTTTCAATTTCCATTTCATTACAATTGTAAAATTATGTGCATCTAGTACGACAGGTAAACATTTAAAAAGCTTATTCCCATTTGGATTCACCCATTCACACATACTCTTTCACTAATGAATTCTTACGCAGTGGAAATTCATAAAACTTATCAATAATAACCAAGTAACTATTTTAAATATTCAACTTAATTGCTTTTTTTTCTGCAGTTTCTCTGGGAAGAATTTTAAAAGAAATCACAAACGTCCAAAAGTAGCAGTTGAAATAAAGAACAAATAACAATAAATTAATTTTTGCTGAAACAAATTATTGTTAAAATCAATTTCATTCAAATAGCAATTGACTTATATACGTTACTGCATCAAATCAGAAAAATAATTAATTGAAATTATTTTTATAAATGCTCATAGTTGAGAACATCAGCACAAATGGTTAAACACCGCACTCAATAACAAATTTTGCCCCTCTTCAGATTTTATTTTATGAATTGACAAATTCTATTTTACAAAATTGTAAAAATACATTTTCATAAAGAAATTTTCATTAAACTATCTCATATAAAAATACCGAATATTTTAAAGTGAACGATGATATAGAAAATCATTTCTTAAAGGCTTGAATAAGTTTACTATTAGCAAGCATGTGCGAACAAAAAATATTTAATTTTGAGAATACATTACACATTAAAGTCAGTTACAAAATAAAAGTGTACTTCTGTGAATGAAGATAGAAATTAAGTCTGAAATATAAGTCTGAAAATTCCTAAAACAAATTCAAGTTTTGTATAAACAAAAAAAAAAAAAAAAAACATATTTATATTTTTTACATGCAATTTTAAAATCAAAAAATGTGCGCCTGAATTTAAATGCGCATAAAACTGTTCAGTTATACTTTCAAAAGGTCATACATATTCATTTTTAGTTTGCAATTCATTTCAGATTACATTAAAACTTGAAGAATCTCGAAACGCAATGAGTTTCGCTCAAACACCACAAAAAAAATTATAAAATAAAAGAAAGCAAGACAATATTGCTGTGAATTCATAGTTTACTAAGGTTACATTTAACGTTAAACGTTTACGAAATGAACAGCGGGTTTTTTTTACCACTGTAATAGGACACAATTATATCAAATGAGTATTTAATTTCCCAGTATTAAGAGTATTTAATTCTATCAGGTTTCATATAAATCTCCTTTTTTATATGTTTTGTACTTCTTCAAACATAAACATACCCATTTGCCTGCAGCAGTTTTGTTGGCTCAGTGACAATAGACCTGGATGGGTGACAATTCTACTGCCGCATACAGATCTCGATAGGCCATGCGTTCAATATTCTATTCAGTATTGACTTTTTGAACTTTTTTAGCCCTCCAAAACTGACTTTCGTTATTCTTTAATGAAATCCCTTGAATTAAGGGAAGAACTGTAGGAAAAAATTTAAAGAAATGTTTACTACTAAATAATTTATCAAAAAGTAAGTGAGGAAAATGCCTGGTGGTGCTGAAACCATGCGCAAGCTTTTAAACTACCACGCCCCCAACGAACGCCTGTTAATTTTCGCCGCAGCCCCCGTTTGGGATAAGTGAGGATGAGGCAAGGTTCTTCTTACCTTGTCGTCCGTGGGGACAGGGCAGACACGACAAAGATTCAAAAAAGAATTGATCATGGGAACAGCCTTCCCTTCCGGCGGCTTGCTCTGCTGCATCTGTTACAGTTGCAGGTGGATTGGAAGACGCGCCAACTTGATCTCTGTCCCACAGTTTTCACTCCACTGACTGAAGACGAGCGAGGCGCCGGCTTCCCAGCTCCGTCAGTCACCGGGTTGCCAGGAGTTTCCCACTCTTGGCGAGATAGGTAAACGCGAGCAATCGCCAAAAACGGCTCAGTAATACAATTAGCGTATTAAGGCATTTAACTTGCTTGCTATACATGCATAACGATAATTTTTTGGGGTGATAAGAAACAGAGGTGATTTCTATTCAAGAATAGTTGTTGAAATTTTAGTAAAAATCTTTCGTTATAAATTTAATAATATCATAAAAATGCATATACAAATGAAAATGCACTGTAGAACCCGTTCAGTGGAATTAATTAATTACAGCGAAGTAATTTCGAATAATTCTTTTGTTTTCGGTAACCTACGATAATTATTTTCTCTAAATTAAGGTGGAAATAGATTCCAACAACACAGTAAAGCAAAATTCATTAACGTATAGATATTATGTCATTTAAAATAACTGCTCATTTAGTTTATATTAATATTTCACTTTCTAAATTTTCACATTGTCGTTTTTTATTATAATTGTATTTTTAAATGCACTTTGCATATAATAATTTTTTTAATTTTCTTTCAAACTTTTGATGAAGTAACGTAAAAAATTAATGGGGATCATTAATTTAAAAAAAGGAAAGAAAGAAAAGAAAAAGAAAGATGGGTTAAAATTTTTACTTTATAAAATTACCTTTTTAATGTACTGAACAAATGACCAATGAATGCATAATGGAAATCAATAGAACTCCAATTTAAATGTACGAATATTTGCAAAAAAAAGGTTAACTTGCAAAAAAGTACTATGTGCTATCACCTAAACTTTTCCAAGAGAAAGGTTAGCAGACCAGATGATATTTATTTCAATTTTTAAAACATACACATTCACAATGGGTATTACATATGTGAAATACTTTACATCATACAATATATACATGTATCAAAAATTGAAGTAATTGAAATTCATTGAAATCGAAATAAATTCCCTAATACTTTCGCAATAGCTGCAAAATAATATAATAATAATTTATTTACTAAAGTAATATTGAGTATATTATCTCCTAATAGTATTTTGAAAAGTAACTTGAATTTTAATTATGAAAAATAGAAATGAAAACTTTTAAAATGAAAATTAATAAACTAAGTAATTATCGTCATTGATCGGAAATTGGTTGACTTTTCAAGGCATCATACTTCTTACTTGAGTAACAGACGAAACACCTTCGCATTTATTAGTTATTGTTAATTGAACGGGGGTTTGCTTGTTCCCCTTGAAAAGTCAACCAAGTTCCAATCAAAGACGATAATTACTTAGTTTATTAATTTTTTCATTTTAAAAGTTTTCATTTCTATTTTTATAATTAAAATTCAAGTTACTTTTTAAAATACTATTAGGAGATAATATACTCACTATTATTTTAGTAAATAATTATATATAATATGCAATTATATATATATATATATATATATATATATATACGAAAATAATTGCATAGCATGAAAGTCCATGTTACTTGAGTAAATGATAATAATCATGATACATAAGTCCACGATTTGTCCATCATTTATCCATAAATCGATGATACATTAGTTGATGAAGTTCAATGATGGGTAAATAGTAATCATCAGTCCTCCAGTAGGCTTATACGTCTTAGACCTCTATCTAAGGTTTTCCATTATATTGCCTTTCGTCTTAGAGGTATTATAATCTGAAATTTACAATTTTTTTTTTTTTTTTTTTTTTTTTTTTTTTGTGCCCAGTTGTAATTTAAATAAAAATAGATATGATTCTCGTGGAAGTTTATTTAGTTAGTTTAATGAACTGAGCAAGTCAAATAAAGCTTCTGTTTCAACAGTTATAAAGGATAGGGTTGTCGTTTCAGGTTATACCTTTTATTTCGAGATTTTTTTGCTTTTGTTATTTTAGCCGAATGTAGCTAGTAAATGTTCATACCATTAAGGGCTACAGGTTTGTGGCTGTCTCGTTAAATAGTCGCTCTGGCTAAGCAAGCAGAATTTCATAATTTATTCTAAATAACAATGTCTCACTGGAAAAAGATAGCTATACATTGCTCATGAAAAACGCAGATATTAAGAAATTCCTGCTTAGCGCCCGTAAAATATCGTTAAGTTCCCGAAATCACTTACAGAGTAAACCACAATTCAGCTAGTTCTCTGTAATCGCTAGATTTTACATCTGATTAACAACTAACCCGTTCTAGGTCTGAAAGCCGTATTCATATACCGTAGCACTAACACGAATATTGTGTAGCACATTTTTCTGGAAGCTTCTGGAAAAATCGGTCAGAGGGTATCAAAAATGTGTTTTCCGAATGTTTAAGAATGTTGCTAATTTGGAGAACAATATCCAAATGCTGGCACCTTGACAACAAAAGTTATCTCTATTGTCGTCAGGAACGTATTTGGAGCATTCTACTTGAGCTATTTTTTACAATTTAAACTTTTTTGGATTCAGAATTCAAAGATTTACAGTTCCGTGTAAGAAATATCTGAATGTAATTTACAGACGCAAATTACAAACCGGCAGGTCACTGCAAGATTTCGAGAAAGTTAATGTCAGCAAAGCAATGACCCTATATAAAGCCACTGAAGACTTATCTTCGGTTGCGTGTGTAAAGTAAAATACCTCGACTAGTATCTGCAGAAATGATTCAAATATCAATCAAAAGATCTTGTAGAGCATTTCTATTTCACTTAATACCCACCAGCGGTCGAGCGGTAAAATCGCTGAACACTGGTAGTTCGGTCCGTGGTTCGAATACTGGCGAACGTGTCAGCTACGTAGGAGTTTTCGTAGTCTTCCTCATGTGTAACCTGTATGCGAGCCAATTCTTCATGAAGGCATCCCCAGGCTTCGGGTTGTTTAAGCACTTACTTTTCGAAACAGCAGAGGCAGATGTAAGGAAAGGTAACATAAGATGTATAGAAAAACCTTAACGTTGTAGAAGAAAACTAACTGCAATTTTGAAATCAGCATGTCTATTTAAGTCTAAAACAACTTAAAAATCGAATTCAACAGAAATTGTGTTACACATTATTACCGAGTGTAATCAGTTTGCGTAGAGCAATAAATTGTCCCATATATTCGTTTTCAACATATTCAGTACACATATTAGCCGCGCTCACTGCTTTATCGATAGGCACATTGCTCACCATTTCGTCATTGATCCCGGCGAGTGCTGAAAAGAGATTCCATTCTGCTCTATCAAAATTAAAATGCACAGATCTTTCAACAGTATGATTTAAAGTTCTTTGAAAAAAGATAATGATAGGAAAATGGTCACTGCCAAAATGGTTATCTCCAACATTAAAGGAACAAAGTGGCAGCAGTGATGGCGAACAAATGGCAAGGTCGACTGCGTGAAAAGTCCTCCTAGGTTGATGGAAGTAAGTATGTATTCCATTAATGAATACAATTAATAATAATGGAAGTAATACCATCATTTAATAAGCATAACGAGTGATCTTCAATTAATTTCTCAATCTGTCTCCCTCGACAGTTCAGATCCTTGCTTCCCCAGAGAGGGCTATGGCCATTAAAGTCAGCTAGCAAGATAAAAGGTTCAGGCAGCTGCTGTACAAGATCCTTCAAATCAGTTTGATCAATATGATCATTAGGTGGTAAGTACAGACAGAAAATTAAAACCACATTATGAACACTTATTTGCAAAGCGACAGCTTGGAGGCATGTTCTTAAATGAAGGATATTCGAAGGAAGATTAAGTGAAGCGACTAATCCTCCCGAAATCCGCTCACCGATATTGTTATCTTTTCTCGCAAAAGAATACCTCCGAAGCTTTGCTTGCTGCTCTTGCTTTAGCATTGTTTCTTGAACTGCCAAACAGGATGACAAACATTCAGCATATGTTTTATGCTATCAAGATTTTGGCGGAACCGACTACAATTCCAAGAGTTCAAGGTGGCCATTATGATGTTTATTCTTTCTGTGCTTCTTTCTGTGCGTGTAAAAAGATGTCTAGGGATTTCCAATCCGTCTTCCACTTCCATATTGTCGGAGTCTATTGATTCTGAAATATCGTAAATTGAGCTATTGCTTATGCTTTTATCGTTGGTTAATTTAATGGATGTGGTTTTTTGTTTGTTTTGAACTACAGTTTCTTTTTTTTTTTTTTTTTGGTGTGTGTGTGTGTGTGTTGAATGTGTTGGCTCCTTTTTGTTGCTTTTCTTATTTTCGGCAGGTTATTGAGTGTTTGATGGTTGAGCTATAGGTATGCTGAGAGATGTTTGAGTAGCAATAGATCTAGTTGACATTACCGCTGTAGCAAAAGAATTTTCAATTAGACTTCTGGCTTCAGCTTAGGATACGTTCCTCGTTATTTTCGTTGCCTGAACTTCCTTTTCATATTCCCATTTCGGATAAGAGCGAAAAAATGTTGGGTGTTCAGCCTTGCAATTGACACACAATGGCGCAGCAGTGCATTTATCGCTATCGTGACCACTCTTCGAGCATCTGGCGCACGTAAGGCTGCCACGACAGGATGTCTTAGAATGACCAAACCGCTGGCATTGGAAGCATAGCATTGGGTTGGGATTATATGGTCTTACGGGGACAGTTAAGATACCCAGCCTTTATATTCTTCGGCAGATCAGGCGAATTAAAGGTCAGGATCACGTGTTTAGTGTCAGTCAACTGACCTTCCTTTCGCATCTTGATCCGCCTAGAGCAACAGACATTTTGATTCGCAAGCTCGGAAGCGATATCTTCTTCTTAAACAGAAAGTCCATTTCCGAGATCACACCTGTACAGAAATTGAGTGTTTTGTGCGCTGACACAGTTATAGCTACATGTCCAGATTTGGTTTGTGACAAAAGAGAAGCAGACTGGGTGGCCGATACAATGTCAATAAGCAGTTCTCCTGATCGGAGACGCTTTATGTTCCTTGGCTCACCAACGCATGAATGGATATATTTGCTTACTAGGAAAGGATACATCTTTTGCTGTTCACCAG